CGGCGGCTTCCGTGCGCCTGCGGCGCTGTGTGGTGTTGCCGGCTGGGAGGCACAGCGCCTCTCTGATCTTCCTGCACGGCTCAGGTGGATTGCAGTTTTGCGTCCCGGTTTCTGCAGCTTGGGAAACATCCTCCCCTCGGTTGCCACAGTGTTGCCCTAGTGCAGGAGGCGCCGGGCCCAAGCAGGGCCCGCCAGGCTGGAGAGGGCGGCTCTCTGCTCGCCAGCCCCGGCGGGGGCAGCTCGGCCCGGTAACCCGCTCCCCAGCAGACTCCTCTTGTCTTCCTCTTTTGGTCCTGCAGTCATTGGCGTACCCCCTCGCCTCAGGCCTTGTGCCCCGCCGCCGTGGGCCAGCCTCCATCCACAGCATTCTCCCTAGTGCGACCCTTAACGCCCCAGCCCGCGCCCCACGTTTAGACAGAGCGAGTTAGTAAGGTAAGTCTGCTAGGCACAGATAAATTATGTAGTGCTTTTCAGGGACAGCTACTAGTGATTTGGATATTCAAACCCAGTAGATGATTTGCCATTGCAAGTAATCCAGGCTCCCATGCTAATGTGGACAATCGAGACTCCCAGTTAACTTACATAATGTTTACTGAGTCTCTCCTCTCTGTGAGACACTGTGCTAGGGCTGGAGTTCCTTCTCTGCCTTTACTTTTTCCTGCTCTCCCTTCCTTCTTTCCTCTTTTCCTCCCTCTGTCGTAATCTAGAAACAGCACAAAGTCTACTGTGAGTCCCAGGGGCACGTGCTCTTCTTCTACTGCCTGTCCTTACTAACATGTACTTAATTCTGTATAGCGTTTCTTAGAGTCATCTGTAATTATTTATGTCTGTCTTCTCCATTGGATTGTGAGCTTCTCAAGAGTAAGGTCCCCTGTTTTAATCTTTGCACCCCCAGTGCTTGGCCCAGGGTAAGTTCTCAGAAAATGTCTTTTAAAAAAAAAAAAAAAAGAAATGAGATGCAGCCGGTGTCCTCAGGGGGCCTACCTAAAGTTAAAAACAAAAACAGTTCAATTAGTTTGAGTCAGCAGTGCATGGGAGATCACAAGATGGTGCGTGAGTTGCTGCCAAGTGAATTGTAAGAAGAAAAAAACCAAAAAACAAAAAATTGTGGTTAGGCATTATTAAGGAAGATGAAGAGCTTGTCAGATTTTTCAGAGCAAGGGGTCTTTAGCTAAGACGTGTAAGCTTAAAGGGGATGATGATTGGATAGTTAAAGCAATTGGAAAGGTACAGATAGAGACCTGGAAGTGGACAGTTGTGGGAAGTTTTCTTTTTATTTTGAGAGTTAGGCCAAATAGGTTCAACAGCTGTCCAGGGTAACCTGGCTATTACTGTGAGTGGTGGTGGAATTGGTATTCGAACCCAATTCTCTTTGACTGCAAAAATCAGTGCCCTGGTGAGAAAAGGTGAATAACCCTGAACTGAGATGTATCATTTTGAGAATGGGGAAGAAAAGGGCCAATGGTGTTTAAAGGGTAAGACTTGACATATATTTAGAAGGTGAGGGGTCCAGGATGATAGTAGGGCTTTATAACCAGGAGACTGGTGGTACTATTCAGGGCCCCAAGGGTGTTCATTTACAGAAGTACCCAGAAATTCCCCAATACTATACCCCTTCTCATAAATAATTAATTCACAATATTTTAAGGAAGAGCTAGATCGTCTTTTTTTTCCTAGACCACTTTGCTTCAAATAACTGTCCTTACTCCTTTCAATTTAAAATACTCACATTTTTATAACCTGTGAGGGCATGTCTCTGAACCCATAGACAAATGTTGTATATAAATTTTTTCCCATTGTACTTTGGACAAAGAATTTATCCAAAGAATTCTGCCAAGTATACAACTATAATGTGATTCCTATGTATCTAAATCTCCATTGAAGTCAATAAAACTTATTGGGAGTAGGTCTTTATCATCCAGGTTAGAGGCTAATGATTTTACATTAGACTTTAATATATGTAGTAATATTATAGGAGATGTTTGACTTCTAGTTAATCCAAAAATGAGCAAACCAATTATAACCGTTTTACCATACTCTTGGAATAAGGTGCTGGCTTTTTAAAAAAGTGGACATTGTGAATGGATGTTGTCTTGCATTCAGTTCTACTTTTCAAGGCTGAAAAAGTGTTTAGAGACAGATTTTGTTTTTAAAAAACAATCGTAAAAGCTTGAGATTCTCTTCTAGGATATAGCAGCCATAGAAGAACATACACGTATATAACTTATATGTAGCCAAATAACTTGAAACTTTCCTACCATTAAAATACTAAAGAAGTGCCTTCTTTTTTTTTTGACCGGTAAGGGGGTCATAACCCTCGGCACGGTGTCGTCTGCACCACGCTCAGCCAGTGAGCGCACCGACCATCCTTATATAGGATCCGAACCCACGCTACCAGCACTGCACTCTCCCGAGTGAGCTGCGGGGCGGGCACAAGAAGTGCCTTCTTTTAGGATGGTAAAAATACATGACAGTTTGATTAGCTTTGTTCAGTCTCCCACATTAGATTGATTCGCTCTAGTATTTGCTCCGGTAGGAGACTGTGGCTCTCTTTTCAGTGGTATTCATCATACTTGTAATTACCTAATTTAATGTCTGTATCTAGTTTTGTTCAGTCTCCCACATTAGATTGATTCACTCTAGTATTTGCTCCGGTAGGACACTGTGGCTCTCTTTTCAGTGGTATTCATCATACTTGTAATTACCTAATTTAATGTCTGTATTCCACACTAAACTATAAGGTTCATGAAAGCCCAAACCATATATGTGTTAATGGCCTTCTTCCCATATAGTAAGTCTCAGCCAGTTGAGTGAGTTGGTTCTTGCTAAAGTCACTGGTAACCTCTGTGTTGCTAAATGAAATGGACATTTTCCAGTCTTCCTCTCATTTGACATGTCAGCAACATTCAGCTTTCTTCTTGAAATCCTCTGCTGATTGTCTTTCTACCTCTATTTGCTCCTCCTGGTTTCTTTTGCAGACTCATCCTCCTCTGTATGGCAGTTAATGATGGGGTTCCTCAACATTTGGTCTTTGGTCCTTTTCTCACTCTACACTTTTCTGCCCAGGCTGACCTCTATACAATCCCATAGATTCTATTTTTACCTATAAACCTGTGCAAATGGGTGTCCCCATTTTAGGCTTCTTTTGAGCTGCAGACATTGTTTATCCAACTACCTGATAGACATTCATTCACTGATCCTTTCTTTCAAGAAATATATTGTATGGCCACTCTGTGCAAGGTACTCTTCTAGGCTCTGAGCATACAGCAGTGAATAAAACAAACAAAAATCCCTGCTTATGGAGCTTACATTCTAGTGGAAGAGATAAATAATATAGTAGAGGTACTAAGTTCTATAGAAAAAAAGAAAGCAAGATAAGGGGAATAGGGGAGGGAGGAGTGACAATGTTAAATAAGGTGGTTAGGGTAAGCTTCACTGAAGATGGCACTTCAGCAGCTACACTTCGGTGAGTGCTTCATGTGGATATTAGGTTAGTCACTTCCAGACCAGGAAAAAGCTAAGCAAAGGCCCTGAGGTAGGTTCCCTGACACAACATGTTCAAGGAACTACACTAAGGCTAGTGTATCTGGAGTGAAGAGTAGGAGAGGATATCCGAGAGGTACTGGCATACTGGTAGTGTAAGTGTCGGCAAACTTTTTCCGTAAATGCTCAGATAGTAAACCTTTTTAGGCTTTACAGGCCACAGAAGGTCTCCTTCACTTATTTTTCCCTTTTCTTTTCTTTTTTCTTAATAACTCTTTAATAATGTAAAACCCATTCTTAGTTCATGGTCCTTAAGGATGTTAGGCTGGATTTTGTCCTTCCCTTTAGCTGGTCATGGTTTGTTGCTCAACCAGTCCCTTCTGTAAGAGCTTGTATGCATTATAAAGTGTACCTCACACTCAGCGTGTATAGACCTGTTCCTTTGTGTGTTTCCTGTCTCTGTATATAGAATGTTGTTCACCAGTTACTCTGGCCAAAAACCTAGCAGACATCCCTGAAACCTTTCACCATTGACCCTCATAAGTAATCTACTGGCCAATTTCTGTTAATTTTACCTGCTAAATATCTCTATTATTTATTTCTGTTTATACTTTTACCACCCTAGTCTAAACATCTGTCACCTAAATGATCTCCCCACGTTTACTTTCATCCCCCTTCAGTTCTGTCTTCACGCAGCTTCCAGAGTGATCCTTTAGAATGGTGCCACTTTTTGGTCAAAAGTACTTGTGCCTTCTCCATGCTCTTAGGATTTGTTGGATTCCTACAGTTTCTCCAACCTCGTATTGCAGCCACTGGCCTTCCTCTCATTCTCTCCCTTCAGTTCTTAGGTGCATACTGATCTCTCCTGTCCAGAGTCTTAGCACCTGCCCTTTCCTCTGCCTGAGATGCTTTTTCTTTCTGCACATCTCTTCTCGTGTCCTGTAGATTTTAGCGCACACCATTCAGCAGCTGTCTGTTGGATGCCCAGTTTGTGTCAGTCCTTTTCTAGGCAGCAGGTGAACAAATAACACAGTGGATAAAACACAAAATGAACCTTGCCATGTGGAGCTTATGTTATAGTGAAATTATGACTGAACTACTTAACTAGGTCAGTTCTGAATATAATAAACCATGAAAGCACCAAGTGTCTCATCTTTGCAGCAGTTACATTTGTCTTTCACATTTATTTGTGTGATTGTTTGACTAATGTCTGTTTCTCATGTAAATTATGCACTTCTGGAGCTTAGGGACTCTATCCCCCCTCACTTCCCTCTCAGCACCTCTGTAGTAGTGAGCACAGTGCCTGGCACATTAAGAGGTATTTGATAGACCGTTCTTGAATTGATGTCTTCATGAATTATTGATTAAAAATTTAAGTTATGACCTTTAAAATTTCTTCTTCAGGACTACATAGGATGGACCTATATTTCCTTTCTTTCTTTTTTTTTTTTGGTGCAAATGTGCAAAAATTAATTTTTGCATGATTTTTGGTTATTTTTCAGCCTTAGAGTATATAATCATTATTTTAGATCATGTAAATGTTATCAAACTTAAATTCTGATTTCTTTAAGTTAAAAACAAAAGTATGCTGAGTACCCCTTTTGAAGGATTATTATTGTTCTAACCAAGAAAATTATATTAGGTTGCTCCAACTACAAAAGTTTAACAATAACTTTAGAAATTTATTACTTTTAAGAGTAAGATAAGAAATGATAAGGCCTAGCTGGTTGCTCACTTGAGAGAGTGGTGCTGGTAACACCCAAGTCAAGGGTTCATATCCCCATACTGGCCTGCCACCAAAAAAGAAAAAAAGAGATGACAGTGTTAAAAATCAGTTATAGATACCACTATTCATTGCTATTAAACTAAACAAATGAGGATGCTTGTAACTCAAGCTTAAACAAGGTCTTTAAAGTGATCATTGGAAAGCCTAGGTAAAATAATCAAAATTATTGCTTGTTAACTGATGCCTGTTCAACTAATTCATAGTGAAAAATTGGTTTCTATACAGTTATTTTTATGTATAGAAAATTTTTTCCCTTATTTCAATCCTGGTGTGATATGAAAGTTACAGACTGCTTTTAAATGCATTGTATTATTAAAATGTTTGTCTTAATGTAGATTTTATGATTCATCAGGTGATTCTGGACAAGGACTGAGAACATGGATCAAGCAAGTTTTAAATCAAGATTTAACATTCCAGCACATAAAAATTATTTATCCAACAGCTCCTCCCAGGTATGCAGCAATATATCTCACTGCTTAGTATACTCTGTGGCATAAAATGTATAAGTAGATCTGCCAACTAATGTTTTTTAAGATTAATTCTGTATTTAAGGTAAATTAGGGTACTTTTTTCCCAGAATGTATTGTTTATTTCAGTTACGCTATTAAGCCAAGTTTTTCCAGGTGAGTAGTTTTTTCCCTTTCTGTAAAGCATTCCCTGAAGCTCTGAGTTTAAACTGTATTCCAAGCATGGCCTAGGGGACTCCGCTCCTCTGGCCTTGCAGGTTGCTCATCTTTCAAACTCTCTTCTGCTCATTTACCCCA